CTGAAAGGAGGAAAGAAAACTTTCCCAAGGCCAAAGCACGCCAGGCTGTAAAAGCTTGGAGTAGAGATTTGTTGACCCCTTGTCCCGATCTCCCCAACCTCATTCCTTTGTTCTTCTTGGCAAGGACCCTCTGCTAGAATTTAAGCAGTCTCCTTCACAGGTCTTGTCTATGACTTGTTCATTATTAGTTTTGAACCTTCACATAGTCATTTCTAACTTACAGAATATATTCTCTGCTTGCTATTTCTATATTTACCCTATGTTTTTTCTCTCCTTGAACTCTAACACTTAAAATCTGGCTTAAGTCTAACGCTTGGGAGGCATTACATAACTACCCGGGTCCTGACTGTGTATTCCCTGCTTAGCCTTTTATCTGTATTTGGAACAAATGGACCTGATTTAGGCTTCTAGAATTTGTAAACTCTTTACTGGCATTAGATATTTAGTAACCATGTGTTTTGGCTACTTCTGCATATGGATAGCCATTTCCCCCAACTATATTGTGGCTGCCTGGGAGCATGAACATGTTTACTTATGCAATGTATTATTTCCTTCTCCCTCCATCTAGGACAATCCAGTGATTAGTGAAGAGCAGGCACTAAGCATATGTAACAGCGATAGATCCTAAAATAAGAAGTATCTTTATGATGAACATACTTAGAGAAGGTGAGCACCAAGAGAGTGCAAAAAAGAGTGATTATATAAAGTGCTGTGTTCTGGGTATCTACTGCTGCATATCAAACTATCCCCATACATAGCAACTTGATACAAAGGAACTGTTTAACTCTGGTCCATGTGGAGTTAGTTGGGCTCTGGAGTCTGGAGGATCTGCTTCCTAGATTGCTCACTTATCAGGTTTGCAAGTTGGCCCTGGTTGTTGGCTGGGAGTTCAGCTGTGAGTGCTGGCTGGGGGCCGTGGTTTCCTGCCATATGGGTACTGCTGTGAGGTTACTTGTGCTTCCTCACAGCATGGTAGCTAAGTCAGAGAGTGATCTAGAAGGCAGGAAGTAAAAGCTAATAGGCCAGTTAAGGTCTACATCTAGAACTATTACAGTCTCACGTTGTCAGAAACAAATTCTGCCTCTTTATGGGGGAGTGGCATGGTCACATTATAGAAAACCACATGTGATGGGAGCCAGTATTTTGACCATATTGGGAACATACAGTCTACCACATGTTGCTTTACTAATAAAACTACACAAAGTCACATAGTTTAAAAGGAGGAAACTCTTTGATACCAAACTCTTTTCAAAATTAATGATGATGGTTAGAGACGCCTGGGTGGCTCAGTCGGTTAAGCATTCTACTTTGGCTCAGGTCATGATCTCATGGTTTGTGGGTCTTAGCCCCGCATTGGGCTCTGTGCTGACAGTTCAGAGCCTGGGGTCTGCTTCAGATTCAGTGTCTCCCTCTCTCTCTTTCTCTGCCCTTTAACTGCTCACACTCTGTCTGTCTCTCTCTCTCTTTCTCAAAGATGAATAAATATTTTTAAAAAATTAAAAAATAATTAATGATGATAGTTAACATTTATTTCCTACTCTCTGTTGGGCACTGAGCTGAAAGACTTATTATACATGGTTGCTCATTTGATTCTCATAGTATATGAGTTGGACACTTGTTATTGTGCCCATTTTACAGATGAAGAAACTGAGATATAAAGAGGTAATATAGTTTGCTCAGGGTTACAACTATCAAATGGCAAAGGCAGGATATTAATCCAAGGAGTCTAACCCTAGAACTCATATTCTCTGTTTCCTATTCAGTCACTATATACAGTGAGAAGTTGTAATGTAGCACAGATACATAAGAAATGCCAGTAGTCATTAGTTCAGGAGTAAAGAACCTGGGTTTGGGTCCATGTGCTTCTGGGGCACTTGAAACCTCTGTGATTATTACACAATATTGGGTATATGTGTGTTTGCTTTTATCAGATTTCTAAAAAGGTATACTTTGTAAATTCTTAAATGTAAATGAATGAGTGAATGAATAAATAAAAGCAATGTAATTAGTCCCCTTTTTCCTAGAAAAGGCTTACTTTCCAATATCTTTCAAGATCAGCTAACTTCCTCCTTTTTTTAAGTTTATTTATTTATTGAGAGAGAGAGAGAGAGGGAGAGAGAGAAAGAGAAAGAAATCAGGTGAGCTTGAGTTGGGTAAGGGCAGAGAGAGGGAGAGAGAATTCCAAGCAGCGTCTGCCATCAGCACAGAGCCCGTTCATTGCAGGACTTGAACCAACCACGAACCATGAGATCATGACCTGAGTCTGAGATCAAGAGTTGGATGCTTAACCAACTAAGCCACTGAGATGCCCATCTTTAAAACCTTCAGAAAAAGCCGTGCATGTGACACCGAGGGCACACCAGTTTTCTGGCCTGTGACAGACTTTGTCAGGATCCTAGTGACTCTTTTGCAATCCTTGTAATCTTGGGTGAATTACTGACCCCTCCCCTCAGGGTCTGGTTGCCTGGGTTGCAAAATGGGGCTAATGACCTTTAAGAGTTGGGAGGACAAAATAATATGCGTTGTGTAATATACCTGGCAGTGATAGATTTTCATCTGGTGTTACTTCCTTTAAAGGTATTTTGAGTGTTGCACAGAATTGGTGCAGTAAAAACATTTTCTTCTCAAGTAGCTGCTAACCTCTAAAGGCAGGACAAATCCCCAAAGAAATCCATATACCAAATCGCTTACATGTGGCTACATAAATGGCTCAGCTCATGTTTTGGTATTCAGTAGCATGCAGGCTCCATATTTTCCTCCTTGTGCAGAAGCATCCTGCAGCTTTAGTACCAAGTGAAAGGGATACAGAAAATCAATCCAGGCAATTGCTTCTTCACTTTCTGATCAGTTCTTCCCAAGTTACTCCCACCTTTGAATGCACTTAATCTCTTCTGTGTAGACCAGTATCTACCACCACCCTGCAAGTGTTGCCATTAAAAGAAAGGTACATGTACTTTATATACCCACAGAGACCTGTTATTAAAATTTTTCTCCAGTCTTCCCTAAATTGCTGTTTTGTTAATCAAATCTGGGAGAGATTTTCATTTGTAATTTATATTTGAGCAATACTTTCATTTAAAGTTTTTATAATTACTGAGGTTTTGGGTGTTTTTTTTAATTATCAGCTTTCACAAGGCAGAATTTTATATATTTTTTAAGGACAAAAATGAACATGTGTCTGTAGGAGCTCTTGCTTGTCATGGAAGTATAATAGGTAATTCTTCCAGAGTGCTTTTCTCAAATAACTACCTGGACATCCTCCCAGACTTGAAGAGTTAGAGCAGCTGAGATTTGAGAGAGTAGGTTAACAAAGGGTTAAGGGCGAAATACGCTTTTGATTTTGTCTTTTTATCTTTTTAATGTCTGGGGGGCAGGGGAACCAATAAAACTCGGTAATTATTCAGAATATTTATCGACAGTGCTTCTAGTTTGGTCTCTTTCTTTATTCTTGGGGCCTTTTTGTTTTACAGCTAGGTTCACTCCTTCTAAGCTTGGAAGATGGCTCCAAACTTGTCCTGGGCCCAAATCACCAGGGAACACAACCCTTCCTTTTATGTGACTATTGCTGATACTTAATAACTTCTTCATTTCTCTTTGTTACTTTTGTATTAAGTTTCACCAGCCTACAGCAGAACTCAAATTATTTTGTAGTTAGAATTGATTGTCTGAACTGCCTAGTTTTCTTGCAGTTTCTAGCTTTCCTTCTAATTGTTTCAGCTATGCCTGCTATCCTTTTTGTTCCCTCTCTGTTTTGCTAGTTTTTTTTGTTTGTTTTGTATTGGAGGCATAATGAACCACAGGAAAAAAGAAAAAAAAACCCACGGAATATTGATCCCATTCTAATAGTTTTAGAAAATCAATACATACATTAAAAAATCTTCATTTGATTAAAAAACATGCATTTTTCTTTCTCCTATCACTTCTTTTGTGGCTTAACAGATCTGTATTCACAGTTTCCTTTAGATTAGCAAGTCGTGCTTTCTCTTAGGCACTTTTATTAAAATTCACAACCAGACAGACTTATTATTTGGATCCTAAAATTTAATAAAAATATAAATGCTCTTGGTTCCTATTTTCTTCCTAATTTCTTAAGACATTATCATTGCCTTATGCTGAGCATATTCATGTCTGCCTCTTATCCGAGTTCCCTAAACCTGTCAGCAGTTAAGTTCACAGTGTATGAGCTTTACAGTGAAGCTAGAGAGCTTGGACTGGGTCTCTGGACCTGAGCAGAGCTAAGTGGAGGCCCTATCACTTTAGGTCTGTTAATTATAATCTTCCTTTAAGGTAGCTATCCAGAGACATAGACTTCTGCCATAGGAATGCAAATATTTCAGTGAATACAGAATACATGATGTCACGAATTTGAAATGGTCATGACATACTGGGCCAGTTCTCAACTCTCTTGGCCACTCTGATTCATTTGTAATAGTTGCTGGAAGCACTGGTTTTCTGAAATCATTACCCAGCTGATGGAAAAAAAATTGCCAGATTGATGATTCCCTTTTTGCCTTTCACAGAGGGAACAATGGTAATGGGAGAGCCATAGATTTGCCATCTTTAATCTAGGCATGTATTATTTATTAAGGAAACAGACACGGGCTTATTTTCCTTTCACTTAGATGCCTCAGCTACAAACAGGAATCTACCTGAAAGGTTAATATAACTCATTTCTGAACCTCAACATCTACTTAAACAGGTAGAATCAGGTCTTATAAAAAAAGAAAAAAAAAGTAATGGCACATGTAGAAGCTTATCATTATGAAAAGATTACAAGCTGTATGGTTTGATTTCACAGACCCAACCCTCTCATTTTATGAAACCAAAGATAGTCACAGACCTGCTTTCCTCCTTGGCTGTAGGTACCTCAAAGACTGTTGACATTTGAAAACCAGAGAAGCTGAACACTGACTCTTTAAAGAACACACTCTAATTCTAGAAACAAGTTGATCTGATCTGTTTGACTGTATTTGATGTGAAATAGTGCAAGGGAGAGTACACTGTGTGATCACAGAGGTGCTCTCAGCTTGGAAGCAACCAGGTTTTTGGACCTGTATCATTTCTGTTGCACCCTCCAATGGTAGGTGGTTGGCAAGTATTTATTATCCTTTCTGCACTGTGTTAAGTTAAATTCCTTTTCCAAGGCAATAGGGCCCTGAGGGAATGTCAAGGAAAGCACTAGAGAGAGAGGAGTCTGGGATGAGATGTCTGGTTCTATAATCTCCTTTCAGGCCATTAGTTGATCTATTAGATCAGCTCCTCTCAACCTTTTGTGTGTAACTTTCCTGGCGGAGTTGTTGAATTATGTAGAGCCACTTTTAGCAAGCTGCTTAGGTCAGGGGGCTTTTCTTTGGCATTTAGTTCCCACGTACTTAAACAAAACCTCAATTTGCTAAGGTTTTTAACACTAGAAGCTTGTTCTTTTTATCCATTTTTATTATTTCTTCTGTACATTGTTATTCACAACACATCTGGCTGCAGGTTATGGCATTTTGGCTGTGTTTCACCTCTGTTACCTCTCCTAGGGTTTAGGAAACAGTCCCCTCTGGATTGAAATATTAATGATCATAAGTACAACAGCAACCCCTCTGCTTTTCAAGTAATGCAATTCTAAGCTGAAGGGCAGCAGCACCAATTATAACTACGGGAATCCTATATACTCTCCCAGTAGGATACACAGATGCGCACACAGGGACTCAGCTGGGCTCTGATACTTGTAACTCGATGCTTCCTTGTGCTTTAGTGTTTTGAGGCTCTAAAAGAGAAAAATGATTCTAGCAAGGAGATTTGGTTGGTGAGGGAGAACCACTCACAACTGCTGAGCTAGCTGTGTGGGAAATTGCCCTTAGGTACGTGGTAGGGCTTCCTCACCTCTGCTTATAACACTCAGTCTCGGAGATGAGGGAAGTCTGTGTGATTCTCAATTTCTCCTCACTCCTCTGGGCTGTTTTCAGTAATTAGAATAGCATACCAGGGAATGTAGTAGTAGATTTTATTTTTGGCTCAACTGCCACCTGAGAGACAGGCTCTTTGAGCCCCAGGACATTCAGCCCAAGGGTGAAAACAAATGAGCAAAGATTATAAAATGGGTCAAGTCACATGGGATAGAGAGGCTGTTAACAGATATGGATCCACAGACCAAATCTTTTGAGGCTGACTTTTCTGCTAGACTACTCTAACTTCAGGCTGACAGTCCAAAGCCTTAGACTATTAGAGGGCATAATCAGGTTTTGTAAAGGTCCATGGGTTCCCACCAGGAAGAAGGAGAAAGAAAATGTAGAACAGAGCACAGGCAAGGAAAAATGGAAGTATTTACGTAAAAGAAGAGTTAAGCCTAAACAGTAAAACTACAAAAAAGGAGAAAACAAAAATATTTGCCAAGAAACAAAAAGACAAAACAATAGGTGACTAAGTGACTAAATGAGAATTATAGCATTTATTGAATACCTATCCTGTTCCAGGCACCATTCTAAGTGCTGGATATATATTGACCACTGATCCTTGCAACCACCTTATGAGGAAGAGAATATTTTTATCCCCATTTTACAGATGAGGAACTGGAAGTGCACAAAGTTTAAATAACTTTCTCAAGATCAACATTATTTTCTTAACCATTATTCTTTAGCTTCCTCCTAAGAGATGAAAGCGCCTTTCTAGGAAAATATTCAAACAGTTGCCCAGATAAAGATTGGTCCTCAAAATCAGTAGAATTGAGCTATGCAAATGAATAGTATTAATAAAAGCATTTTGGTAAAAGGATGTAACCAAAAAAGGGAACCTCTATACATTCATAGTTTTTAAAGATTGGTTAATTTCCTTACAGGAATTAATGAAATCACTTTCCATTGCCTCCCTAACTTTGAATTCAGCCCTGGGTACAGTGAAATGATGAGTTTTTCTTTCCTTTAAGCCATCAGTTGCTTGAATGTGATTTTTTTACAGATATCCATTAACAACTAGTATTTTAGTCTTCTGAAGAATGTTTTTTCTTTTAATTTTTTAATGTTTTTATTTGTTTTTGAGAGAAAGACAGAGAAATTGGGAGAGGGACAGAGAGAAAGAGAGGGAGTGAAGCAGACTCCAGGCTCTGGGCTGTCAGCACAGAGCCGGTCACAGAGCTTGAACTCCTGAACATAAGTCAGATGCTCAATGGACTGAACCACCCAGGCACCCCTCTCGTGAAGAATGTTAACTAGAAACTTTAAAAGTAATTTTAAAATAAAAGTAATGAAATAATATTAAGATATTTCACATAATTGGGAGTGCTCATGATATATAAAAAAATATGTCAAGCATAAGCCCAATTTTGTTTAAAAGTGTATTTATTGGGGCACCTGGGTGGCTCAGTCGGTTAAGTGTCCAGCTCTTGATTTCAACTCAGGTCAGTATCTCACGGTATATGGCTTTGAGCCCTGTGTCCAGCTCTCTACTGGCAGTGCAGAGCCTGCTTAGGATTCTCTCTCTCCCTATCTCTCTGCCCCTCCCCTGTTCATACTCTGTCTCTCTCAAAATAATAAATAAACATTAAAAAATAAAAATATGTATATATATGTATGTGAACATATTTTAAAAGACTGGAAAGATATAACTTCAGTTATCTCTGAGCATATGAAAGATTTCTGTTTTTCTATTTACTTTTCTGAATTTCCTAGTTTTAAAAAATGACATGTATTACCTGTATATGCAGAAAGAATGTTATTAAAAGTGAAAATAAACACAGTTCCAGCATCATGTTTTAGAAATGGCTTTGGTAGATACTTAATCACGTTATGAATCCTAACCAACCAGCATACACCTATCTCTGCTTTTTATTTGAATTAAATCTTCTGACTTTATAAGCAAGATAGAACATTGACTTCCGAATCTAAAACAGGATTAGTCAAGCCCCAGAAGGTCAAAATGGAACCAATTCTCAATGACACATTGCAAAGAAAACTGTCAGCTCCTGATCTAAACTTTGGGTCCTTGAAATGTTTTGCTGCCTTCTTAGTGTGCAGCACTGTTTAGTTGGAAGAAGAAAAGCAACATGTAAAAGTGGAAGAAACTATATCTCAAGACAAGAATCAGCCTTATTTTATGTAGGTTATATTCAATTATTGGTCTGAATTCATGGATCTCTTTGAGAGTGAGAAGTTGGGTACCTATGCACCTAGGTAAGTGCTAGAATGGACAGTGGAATGGGTATATAGTAGCTGAAGACCAGAAAACTAAACTCATGAAAGTATTACATTTACATATTCATGTTACCATTTTCATTGTTGGTGGAAGAAGGAAGCAAAAGGGACAAAAATGAGACTGTAAGAAGCACTTTCTGAACTAACTAATAACACATGGAAACCATTGGGATATAGTACAAGGGCTGATAAAGGGCAAAGTTTCAGGCATGGTAAAACTACCTCATAGTGATTCTGATTGGAGAGAGGGGTTGCCCTCTTGGAAATCCATCCCTCTTACAGATTGAGACAAACTTCACCAGCAAATCCTTTATCTGCTTATCTGCAGTCCAAGGCCACTCTGCTCTCCTAGTGAGATGCACACAGAAATTCCTCAGGAATGCTGCTTACCCTGCTTTAACTGGCCTCCCCAAACTCAACTCAGAAAGAACTCGGTTAAAAACTGATGGGCCCATTGAAATTAAAAGAGCAAAACAAATGGCCACAAAACAAATGAGTGATGTTTCTTCAGTTATTTAGTGGTAGAAATGCTCATTTCCAGTTAGAACTTGTGCAAGGGACAAGGGAAATATCCATCTCAGTTTCATTGCATGGAACTAAGAGTCTCCATAGCCTTCCTATTGCATCCAGAGCACAGAAATTAGAGATTTAGCACATGCTTTGTGCCTAACTGCTCGCTTCTTGGGCAGGAGTACCAATAACCTTGCCAAACACTTGCTGTGATGGAGATATGTAGTCTTCCCTTGTTCATTGCCTGCTCACCATCCTGATCTCTTTCAGCAAAACGGATTTATGCCAACTGCAAAACTAATTAAAAAAGTAAATATTTTTAACCAGTGTAGCAATAAATTAATTTCATGCCTATTTTAAATGGCCCTGTTAATAAAAATAGAACTCTTCTTGTGCTTGAGAATAACTGTATTGAAAATGTGATTTTTCTGGCTGTCTCCTCGGGATGTGACATTGCTCACAGCTCTTCCCAACTGCTGCCAGAAGCTGTGTCGGTCGTTGGTTGTGGGTGCTTAACAGCCATCTGGAAGGAAAGTTGGCATCACCTAGTTGAAGGCATATCTCAAATTGAGGGATTGTAGCTGCCATCACAGTTAGTAAATACTGTGGCTTCCCTGCTGGATTGAACACCTATTCCAAATTCCTGACTGGAAGAGAAAATCAAGAAGGAGGGATGAGGATAAGTATCCCCTGAATGCTTTGCTGACTGACAATTCATGAAGGCTGGAGTTTCTCTTTTAGTCCAGAACTCAAAGCAGGTGACATGTAGCCCATTTTCATTCGTAATCTCATTAATAGAGCCAGTCAATTGCTGCCCACACTTAGAAAAAACATGCAGGCCACACTCCTTAGAAAGGAGATTTTGAAAGTGTTTGCTGAAAATAAATGAAGGAACAGGAGGCATAGGATTGTTTTGTTTTCTATTTACTTGACACTCCAGTCACCAGTTCTGGGAGGCACGGGTAGTCATTCTACTGAATCTTCTTCTATTATTTGCTGGTCAGGGTCCACTCTGGAAGTGCACTCCAAGAATTACTTTCAACTCTGGACCAGAGGTAACAAGCAATAGAGATTAAATAGGAAACTTTTGTTGAGACTCTTTACAATCTGATTACCTCTGGTTTATAAAATGGTACCTCAAAGCAGATGCGACCTGGTATATTTTTTCTAATGATTATTCTGAGAGACCTGGAGAGTGAAGATGGATAATTCCAACCCACTGTCATCATGGGTGGTTCCCTTTAAAACAACCAAAATGTGCTTTTGCTGTCATTAGACTGTTCATTTCTTCTCTTTTGGGAGTATTTCCCAGGTAAGGGTTTGTATTTTTTTTAATCGAAGAATAATTGACATGTAATATTGTATTAGCTTCAGGTGTATAACATAGTGATTTGATAATTATATACATTGTGAAATGGTCACCACAATGTCTAGTTATTACCTGTTGAAAGAGTTTGTCTTACACCCATCTTTTAACCATGAGATCTTTAAATATGTTTTTTTTTTTAAAGCCAAAATCACCAAGGAGAGTATGAGACAATAGAAAAACTTGAAATGTGGAATCCAGATTGGTTGCTTAAATCTAATTAAGGAGCTCTGGGATTACTCGTATGTTTAGGTGTTCCCATCACATATTTTAAGGAATAAACTGATACCATCTCTTCGTCCACTGTTGCATTTTACCAGAGTTTTAGGAGAAATAACTTCACAGTGGATTTCCATTTCTAAAGCCATAGCCTGGTGGATTGCAGAGTCATAAGTAAATTTAAAAAAAAAAAAACACGTTATTTTGGTTCAGTCTTCTCCCTCAGATTTCACTGTAGGCTAACTCCTCTCTTTGGATTAGGGATGGGGAATTCCTTGTGTGCCTTACATTTTGACATTTCCCTTGAAATTTCTATTGTTTTTGACCACTCCTAAGAAGGTAGCAGATAAGGCCTCTACCGTCAGAATCCAATTGTTATTGCTTCCTTCTTCATCTGCTTTGGTTTTCAAGGGAACACAGCATTGTGTTTTCTGAGTCTCCCATAGACACCAGCAAAGAAGCTTTAATCTCTTTAGTTTGGGGACCCCTTCTCTTCTCCTAAGAAGTGAGGTACTTGTCTATATGGAATCACTGGAAGCTTCTGTATGTGTCTATGCTATGATACTCTCTTTTGTATGATTGTGAATTGTTCCTAAACCTGTTGCTTATCATTAGTTGAATGGAGAGAGACCCATCACTTACTCAGATTATTTCAAGCAAAAGAATATCTAGAGCAAAGATTCACGTGGCCCCAAATTTCAGTGGGAACATTGTGAGAAATCTGACTTCCCTGTTGAATAGTTGGTGACTTCTCTCCCACATCAACACTTCTGATGGAAACTTTGACTTTCTCTTACCTCCATTACACCTTTTCTACTGACTGGTTTTCTTAACTGATTGTCTCTGGTCCCTCAGACTTCCAGCTTGTGCCATGTCTTATGGTTCCAACTCTAATATGATTTCAGTTCTCCCAAATAACTGTTAAAAGTATTTGAGTGGGGGGGCGCCTGGGTGGCTTAGTCAGTTAAGTCTCAGTTAAGCTGAGACTTGGGTTCAGGTCACAATCTCACAGTTTGTGAGTTCAAGTCCTGCACTGAGGTCCTCAGTGACAGTGTAGAGCCTTCTTGGGATTATCTCTCTCTCTCCCTCTCTCTCTCTCTCTCTCTTTTTCTGCCTCTCCTCCACTCTCTCTCAAAATAAATAAATACACTTAAAAAAGTGTTTTAAAAAAGTTTTTTGGGTTTTCCAGAAGCTATTTCTTGAGAAGCCCTCTTCCATTTTTATCTTAAATAACAGGTTCTTTCATAGGTTGATTCCTAAGCTTAAATTACTTGCCTTTGGTTTATGTTCCACTTTTGGTCAGATCATCTCTGGCAGGGGTCTTAGAGTAAATACTGGGCCTGGGGATTGTGAGAGGATGTTTCCTCATGGAGGAGGCTGTGTGCAGATTCTGCAAAGTCTGACACCTAGTTACCTGAGAAGCCATTTTTGTATTGAAAATATTTCTACAGAACCATTGTGAGTGAGACATGCATTGAAAGATAAAGAAGGGAAAAACTTTATTATCTTCTAAACTCAGACATTTTTATTTGTTATGTTTTGCATGCCTCTTAAAGGAAAAATGTGAAATTATGAAACAACATATTGAAATATTGTGACTTATACCAGATCTTTTAAAACTCTGTTGTTCTCTTCTTATTCAATACCAGTAGGTTGAAGCCTGTACATTTTTCTGAGATGACCATAAGTGGTACTGTCTGTTACTTTTCTGGTAGTGAGGCTGTGTGGATGGTGTTCACCATAATAGATCTAAGTATAGTTTAGTTCCAGGAGAACGTATGCTCTTAGGGTGTTGCTCAGGGCATGATTTCACTGGACTAATTTCAATTGTGTACTTTTTTTGTGTATAGAACTTGACAAGAGTTATAGACAGTTTGAGCTGGGAGTGACCTAACATCATCTAATTCAGTCTTTCATGTTTATATGAAAGGATTTGTCCAAAAACAGATAATTAGTGTGGGTGCAGAAATTAGGAGCTATGTCTGTTGGATTTCAGGGCAAGGCTTTTCCTAATGTCCCATGCTATTTCTAAGGATGGATAAACCACATGGCTTTAAAATTATACTCATCAAGAAGTCTTTTAAATACAGGTGAATAGAATAGAGCAAGGTATGTAGATACTAACTAGAAATATCCTGAGGATGGTAGAGACCTCTAACACCTATATCTGGCTCTGAACCAAGATGCTGAGCTTTAATTTCCTCAAATGCTTTCAACATTTAAATTTTTCCTTCTATGTTTCTTTTGGGGGCCTATTTCCTTTGCCAATGAATAGGCAAATAGGAACTAATAATGTACTTTCATTAGCTACATTCTTCTCCCTGATGTTATCTGATACTCTGTTCAAATGTTTTAGATGATAAGTTTTTACACAATTCCCAGCATAGCAGTTTATCATGTAGACCCATAAAGAAAAATGCTGTATTTGTAGAGTAGGCTATGCTAATGTAATGGGGGAAATAGTTAAGTTACTCTCCACAGTATTATAACCACTTAACTATGATTCTATTTTTGATAGGTCTCCAAACTTTGTTCTTTTGGTCAGACAGCAGGTCATCAAATACCTCATCCCGAGGCCTAAAAAAGTTCACTTCCTTAGCAAACTCCTAGTTTTAATAAGGTAAATGTTCATTGGATAGGTGCCAGAATGTTCTGTGAAGAACCACGTGGTTCTTCAACCCTGGTGGTACTTGAGGTCTACGTCAAATATAGTTTAATGGAGGGCTTTTTTGTTTGTTTTGATATGGATAATAAGTTCTAAGAATAGAGAACTTTACCTCCAAGCCAATGCAAATTGTGATGTTTAATACTTTTGTGTTTACACCCTGACCCATTTACTGAGCAACCCAACAGGGGGTTGATAATCAATAGGACTTCCAATTTAAAAATGCAAAAGAAATGATAGAATTAGAAAAATACCATTTTAAAAGCTCTTAAAATATTGGTTCTTAAAAATGGATGCCAATGGCTTATAAAACTATTTTAATAAATTTATGGGAACATAGAATAATTAATGGATTAGGCTGACAATTCTTGAACCCACTGATGAATGTTAATGTCACAAAATTTGGGACTGCCAGATATTATGTGCTTCCTATTGGTGCCATAGAACATATGTAGGACACCCCCATGAGGATTTTTGCCAAAAATAGTTCTACCTGAATTTAATTAAGCCCCAAGACATAGCAACTAGTTCTTCAACAAATAAACAGCATAAGAAAAAAAATGTGAGGGAGAACCAAGTGTAAGGAGTAGACATTGTTAGGATCCTAATTCAAATACCTCACTGTAAGAAGACATTTTTTTGAGATCAAAGAAAATTGTGTATAGATTGGGTATTAGATTATACAAGGGATATTAATTTTGTTAAGTGTGATAATTTTCTTGTGGCTATTTTAAGATATCTGTTAGATACATACTGGTGGATTTACATGTGAAATGATATAATATTTGGAACTTATTTCATAACAGTGATAAACAGAGGATGGGAAAGTAGATGAAATGAAGAATGGCATACTGCTGATAATTTTTGAAGCTGGCTGATGGATCCATGAAAGATTATTATGCTCTTATCTCTGTTTTTGTGTATGTTTCAAGTTTTTGAAAATAAAAATAATTACAAGAGAGCCAACAAAGCGAGCTATGTCTTTGTTCCAGAATATGTGAGATTTTTAAAACCAGAACTCAGGTTTGACTTGGTAAGAAAAATAGATATTCTGGGGCACCTGGGTGGCTCAGTTGGTTAAGCATCTGACTCTTGATTTCAGCTCAGGTCATGATCTCATGTTTTGTGGGATCAAGCCCCACATTACGCTCCTTGCTCTCACTGTGGAGGCTGCTTGGGATTCTCTCCCTGTCTCTCTGCCCGCTTCCTGCTTGCGCTCTCTCTCTTTCTCTCAAAATAAATAAATAAGCTTTAAAAAAAAGAAAAATAGGGGTGCCTGGGTGGCTTAGTCGGTTAAGCTTCCAACTTGGGCTCAGGTCATGATCTCACAGTTCGTGGGTTCGAGCCCCGCATTGGGTTCTGTGCTGGCGGCTCAGAGCCTGGAGCCTGTTTCAGATTCTGTGTCTCCCTTTCTCTCTGCCCCTTCCCCACTCATGTTCTGTCTCTCTCTGTCTCAAAAATAAATAAACTATAAAAAATTAAAAAAAAAATACTCTTCAAATTCTCAACTCTGAAGGCTGAAGACTTGTCTCTTAGGATAGGCTTACTTTAGGTACTACTTTGTTGTATTACTGCTTGTGTGTCCATGGGCATAGAGTTAGCATCTGTATTATGAAAATAGTAGTATCTGCAGTAAATTGTTGTAACGAGGTTTAAACATGAGAATGTATGTGAACACCTGATATGGTGCCCAGCATTCATTCATTCCTCAGTAAATAAGGCTGTTGGCATCTTTGCTTCATTTAACAAAGACCAATTAAGTGTCAGGTATATGCCAGACCTGTGCTAGATCTAGGGAGTTTTTATGAAAAAAGAAAAAAAAAAGAAAAAAGATGTAAATCTGCCTATGAACAATTCTTAATTTATTGGAAAAGTTGAATCACAGGAGACTGGTGTTTTGTAGGTGTAAAAGAGTGTAAAATATCAGCAACTTCATATGGTTCAACCTGATAACTGAAGTGAGATATAATCACAGAGGTAGCGAAGTGCAGTGGTCAAGATAACAGACTCTTGTATCAGACTGGGCTTGAAACTTGGCTCTGCATGAATTGTGTGAAACTGAATAAAGTTACCTTTAGTGGCTTTGTTCATGGCCTGTAAAATATACTTGCCTTACTGGATTGTTTTGAGGACAGCGCATAAAATACAGTCAATAGTACTTAGTACAGAAAAAATCCTGTCTATTGTCATCAGTGCATGTCCAAAGTGATGTGTGAAGACACCCACTTATGAGAGGTGCATGTAATTACTTATAATTTTTTGATGTTTATTTATTTTTGAGAAAGAGAGAGACAGAATGAGAGAAGGGGAGGGGGAGAGAGAGGGGGGCACAGAATCCGAAGCAGGCTCCAGGCTCTGAGCTGTCAGCACAGAGCCTGACATAGGTCTCAAATCCACAAACTGGGAGACCATGACCTGAGCTCAAGGTTAACTGACACACCAAGGTGCTCCTTGGTGCGTGTAATTATATCAGGTGCCAGGGGTTGGTGCTGAGGGCATGATGGTTTCACAGAGAAAGTGTGACATTTGAACTTCACCAGGAAGAAGGAGCCACTCAGGCAAAGATAACTACAGACATTTTAGGCAAAGGGCCTGGAAACAGGAAAGGAGAGTTTCAGAAACAGAAAGGAGTGGTGTGGGGATTAGAGTTTAGAGCATGAGTCTGGAGGATGGAGAGGGGCTACACAGGAAGTTATGATTGGTAGCCTGGGTGGTCTGTGTCTTGGTAATTCAGTAGCAGAAGGGGTCATAGGGAAATTTTACCCAGAATAGTGACAGTAATGTGGTGATTGTTGGAATGGAAGGAAGACTTGCTGGCAGTCTATAAAAATAACCTAGAGCTTTGCTATTCAAAGTGTGCTTCTTGGACCAGCAGTATCTGTATTCCATGGTTCTGTTGGAAATGGGAATTCTTGGGCACCATCCTCAGACCCTGAATTTTAACAAAATGTGCAGGTGATTCATGAGCACACTGAAATTTGAGAAACCGTGGTCTAGAGACAGCCCAGGGGAGCCTGGGCTAAGACAGAGACAGTAGGGATGTCAAGCAGAGAATATGGACCACTAACACATGTATTTAAGAAGTGAAACTAAAAAGATTTGACTGATAAGGTATGGGAGTCGAAGAGGGAGTAGTTGAAGAGGATGCACTGAGAATAAATCTGTGTTTCCTTATTAAGATTTCTGGATGGATGACTGGGAATGCAGAGAAAGGGGAAGTGTTGGGGAACAAAGGTGAGAAAAATAATTCATTTTATGGCATGGTGATTTTAAGCAGCCTATGGGACATAGAAGACCCATAAAAATGGATTGAGGAAAATGAAAGTATATTATTAAGAAGAAAATCTGAAGAAAGTAGTTATCCTAACATCAAGTAAGAAACCAATGATGACAAATGCTAGACATATCCTCTCAACTGTTCTTCTATAAAAGAAGAAGGGCACATTAGAATAGGTTCTCTAGTGTGCATTAAGTACTCTGAAAAAAAATTTTGAGCTTGTAAAGTCAAACATTCCTGGCTCCTCTGTTAAGTATAAATGTGTAAAAATAAAACTGTAAGACACAACAGAGCTTGATAATTTGTACAGAATTCTACCATATAGACTTGGCAAGAATTGAGGCTCTGGAATTTGGAGAGGTTAGGGACTCCTGGTGATTTCTTGGCATCAGTATTAGTGGATTTTCTTTCTTAAACTTGGTTTAGAAGGATGTGGAGAATTCAGATATCTCAGTTCGCTATATGCTGAGTTTAAATGAAATGCTACCCAGGGGTAGGTTTGAGAGGTTATTTAGCCAGATTGTAGAATCTCTAAATATGCAATCACTCTCCCACCCAGAGTTGCCAGATTTAGCAAATAAAAATACAGGATTCCTAGCTAAATTTGAATCTCAGATAAACACAAACAGTTTTTTAGTATAAAAATATTAGACCAAATATTGCATGGAAGATACATATGCATGTACTTTAAAAGGAATCATAGTTTATCAAAATTAAAATATAAATAGTTATCGTGTATTTTATCTGACAACTCTCAGATGTCCTAGTTATGACAAAGAATGTGTATACACACATACATATGTGTATATGTAGATAGACTTATGTCTATATAGCAAATATAGCAAATTTTAATGTTCAAAGGCTAAGCTGAGAATTTTTCAAGATGTGGAAATTTATAACATTAATTCATACAAGCATCCATGTATCTAGTTTGGAGGGAAAAAGCAGAACAGGCTTGTTGGAAACACTCTGCCATGATTTTTCTTCCTGTGTTTATGATAAAATCACTAGCTTTTTTTTTTTTTATCCCCTATATACATCTTAGCACCTTGTTCCATAATGTTAATACAGCATTTAGTGGGAACAGTCTATAATTAAGGCTTAAGTTTTCAAACAAACTGCAGATGTAGAGCTGTGAGGGTGGGCTTGATGCTTGATTTGTAGAGGAGACTCTGATGTTAATCAGATGTGCTTCTACTTACCAAGACGATGTTGAAAATAAAGCTGTATTACAGGTATATGTGTATATATATGTATACACATATATATATGTGTGTATATATATATATATATATACACTTTATATACATATATAAACCTCTTCAGTTGTATCTGTTTTTTTGAAATTTTAAGACCTGGCTTTATGTTATGTCTTTTTTCTCAATTAAAAATTCAACAAGTATGTCAGAAAGAAAATGTGATTAAGAACTAGTTGGCAGTGCAATGTATTATGAAACAACAGAGAAATAAGGAATTACTTCCATCAAGGGTCATTTGAGAAGGTTTCACAGAGGTAATGGCATATAAGCATCTTAAAATATAGGATTTTTAAAAAAAATCTAGCCTTTTAAAAAATAAATATAAAGGAAATATATTCACAAGTTTTGCAAACCCTATGAAAGCAGCAGAAAACAATTACCCCAAATCTCAAGAATTAGAAATACCAATATTATTTTTATATATTTCCTTTAAGTCTTTTCTGACATTTGTTGCATAAAATTGCATATGTACATGCAATTTCTATCCTGATATTTCACTTAACATATCTTAAATATTTCTCTTATCATTAAAAACTCCCTGTTAACATTGTTTAAACAGCTAACCAATAAGCCATTATATTAATAAGAATTTGTTTTAATTTTAATTTTATTTATTTTTATTTTTTGTGGGGGGAGGGACAGAGGGAGAGGGAGAGAGAAAATCTTAAGCAGACCCCACACCCAGTGTAGAGGCCTATGCGGGGCTCAATCATACAACCATAAGAGCATGACCTGAGCCAAAATCAACAGTAGGAAGCAGAACTACTGAGCCATCCAGGTGCTCTGAGTAATAATTTTTTAATATAATCCCCAAACTTTGGATTTTTAGGTACTTTCCATAGTCTTATTTTTTGTTAATAAAAATAAAATACACTGTATAAAATACAGTGTTGGTCATTTAAAAAATCTATAGCTCTGGTTATTTCTAAGACTTAAAAGTAGAATTATTGGGTTAAGGGTCTAAAATAACATTAATGGTCTTGACACATATCCTACCAAACAGCCTTCTGAATAGATTGTCCCAGTTTAGACTCAAAGAGTCAACAGAAAGGATAAAAGGGAGCACTGGAGGACAGAGGTAGAAAGTGTAGTATGTAGTCAGCAGCAAGGAATAGTCCGGTTTGTTTGGAGCATAAGGCATGAGTGATGGATGGTGAAATGAGGCTAAAAATGTCATTTAAAACCAGATTATGGAAGATCTGAAATGCCCACATATGGCAGTGAGCCTTCCTTCTGCAGGCAGTTGTGAGCCACAGAAGTCTTCTGAGTAGGAGAATGCCATGACTTTAGAACTTTCTTCCAGTTAATTATAGGCTATTAAATGTCTCTGAACTTTTGGATCA